AAATATACATTAGGCAGTTGATAAATATACACACAGTCAGGTCATAAGTATTGTCACACAGTAAAAACTTTTCTTTTAGAATGCTGGGCACAAAAAAGTTTATTGAATTCGAATTTCGAATTGTTCATGAAAATAAAAATGTATACTTTTTAGAATTTTACTCATTTTTAAATATGGAGTGGACGCTTAAAGAAGACCGTGTTGCAGTTATTGCGCTGCATCGTTGCGGTTGCGCGCCAATTCAAATTCTTGACATACTGAAAAATTTTAATATAACCAAAAGAAGGCCTGTATTCAAAACCACGGAGGTCATTTTGAATAAACTTTATTGTCATAAGAATCTATGTTTTGTTAAGTTCATTTTGGTATATAAATGGTTACATAATGAATAAACTTGTTTCAATTATTTTATATTAAACATGTAACAGAATTTATGACCTGACTAGGTATATATATGATGCCAGAGATATTTTTCACTTTATTAATTCTATGGTACCAGGTTGGATACGTACCAGCATCTGTTGCTAAACGCGGCTTTAAACTTTACGGAAGCGCTGTATTAAAAATTTAACATAATATTAAGGGTATGAACCCTTCTCAAGCTCCGGTACGTGACATACTAACATTTTGAAGCTCTATAGAATAATTTATCGAACCTGGCAATACGACCCAATAATCTCTAGATTAAATCTGCAGTCAGTAAGTGAATATGCATTAGGAAGACCGAAATTTGTATTTTTGAAGATTTTTCAAAGCATAAGTCCTTAACACACAGAACAGCAGTGGTACATTTTATAGAAAATAGATTAACGGTTTATCATTGAGGTTGAAACATTTTCCATCTTTGTTAATTGTTAAACACAAATAGAGTTAAATGAGGCTCAAACAAAGGTAATAAGCTTTTAAATTTGAATTATGAAAATTTGAATTTTGGTGAAACTGGGATTGAATCTTTTTATGAATTTTTGACTTGTTGAAGTAGAAATGCATGAACTTTTTAAGTCGATGACGTCATTTTCTTTACGATGCCATAAAAAAAAAGATAACTTAGGCGAAATTGTAGAAAACACGAGCAATATATTTGTCGTAGAGGAATACTTCACTCTGACAAGTACGAAATTGCCTCATTGAGATCAGCCCAGCCTATTTATGGACAAGTCCTTTCCTCCGAGGTTTGGTGGGTGTAACTTTTTCTTTGTGTCTGGGAAATGCCTTACGCATCCTTCAACCACTGGGGGAGCGAGAAGAAGGTATGTGGGACTCCTCCCTGTACCTTTCAGCCAGCCCTGGAGCTCGCTGAAATGAACAGGGCGCTACCTACTACCTGAACAGGGCCACTAAAAACCAGACAATACTCCTGCACCGTCACCCGACACGCACTATGAGGACCGCGGTCCCCCTAGTGCGTGCCAAGAGGGCGGGTGTGGTTGCGGCACCCGTCTCCGAATGGCCGCGCCCTACGTAGGGACACGATTTCGAATAGAAAGTATCGATACTGTACTCATGAGTAGTATCGGAAAAAAAATATCGTACTCGTAAAAGTATTGATACAAAAGTATCGATACTTCAAAGTATCGAGTACATTTCATAGGACCTTATAAGCAATGTAGATACTCTTAAAAACGTGTAATGTTAATATAATCAACTGCAAAACTAAACGTGAATTACTCAAGTACGTAAGTCTCAGGACACACTAGATTGCTTCTGCTTCCAATTTTAACAACGCAATCGAATGTTTTAGAAGGTTTGCTATGATTCCACTAGATGGCGTTGCCATCAATATAAGGCGCTTATCCAAAATTTTAAAGGTATCGATACTTTTTTTAGTTTAGTTATTTAGTTGAAGTATCGAAAACCAAGTATCGAGTACAAAAGTATCGGTATCGAAAGGTAAAGTACTCGATACCACAAAGTATCGATACTTTTTTCGTGTCCCTAGCCCTACGATGTAACCTGCCGAACGAGACTTCTTAAGCACAAGGGATAATTTTTTGATCTCTTATCTCATAAACGGCTATTGCATTGCTTAGCTCCTACAATCCCAAAGCGAACGTGCTAGCCACTGTGACATCGATATCGCGTTTTAATAATAATAATATTATTTTATTTTTAGAACATGTCCATAGTTTGTCAGTAACTATTTTACTTAGAAACTATGTTGGTAAATTACAAGTAAATGATACTAACAGATGTCACAAAGTAATTAAGTTAATAATGTGATTCACATTTATAAATTCATTTTAGAAACATTTATTATTTCATTACCGGCCCGCGAGTTCTCGTAAACTAAGGTACATGGTGTCAATCCTGTAAATAATTTATATTACTATAATGTTAGTGACCATGAAAGTTTAAAACAATATATATAAAGTAATCTGCCTATAAAAATAAATAAATAATTTCACCCAAATCCATTCTGCCGTTTTCGCATGATTTAGTAGCAAACATACAAACTCTCACATTTATAATATTAGTGGGAGGCAGCAAATGAAAACATAGAGTACATTAGCTGTTAATTTCTAAAGCAGATGTGAGAGTCTTCAAACGTTTACTTTCGGAGCTGTCACTATTGTTTTGCGGAAAATATATGAAGAGTACCTGCTTGAATTTAATGATTTTCCAGTTTCACTTGCTATACAAACAAAAACTGCATATACTCAAAGTTAAGGTAAAGAAAGTAGTCAGTGATTTTTTCATCAATAATAGTATCACCATTAGCTTATTTTTCATAATAAACTTTTAGGAGAAATAGTGGAAGGAAGCTTGTATTTTTATTAAACAACGCATTAGATATAACATATTACATAGGTTATATACAACTATGCGTTTGGCACCTATACGATGATTTTTCATAGATTAACTAAGATTATGGGGATATTTGACAAGATTATAGAATTATGATAATTGACAATCGTAACTGACAAAAGAACTGTAAGAGTGGTCAATAGGCCAGTAGGCAACCACCATTAAGAAAGAAAGCCAAACCATATTAGAATCGGCTGTTCGATCAATTTACAATCTTAAGACTAGAGACTCTTTAAGAGAAAATTTTAAAGAAATCGATATAATGACTGTTTTTTCTCAGTATATTTATGAAAATTCAATATAACATTATTTCCCATAAATAGTGATAAGCACTCCCTTAATACTAAAAATAAAAATTAATTAGCTGTACCAATTTACAAGGCTCTATAAAATCAATAATTCATTTAAACGTCTTTGTGAACGCTTCTACAATAAAGTCCCTAGCAATTTCCAAAAAATCAAGCGTCAATAAATTTAAAACTACCATTAAAATAGTTCTTATTATTAAAGCCTACTATAAAGTGTCTGATTGTGTATAGACAAGAATGCTTGGGCTAAACTTTTCCAAACGTTCTAGCAGACTTTCTCTATGATTATGATGAAGATGAAATGATTTTGTATTAACACCGTAACAATATAATATATTGTAAACTAGCGGCCCGCCCTCGCTTCGCTTCGGTATAGAGCTGAAGTGTAGACTACAGTTTTTGTTCTCAGGCTTGTATAATACACAGAACCTATGATTCTTCTTATACCTGCATGCAAAATCTGAGCCCGATCGGTTTAAAATTGACAAAGTTTCATACAAACTTTCATTCCCTATTTTTTCCCCTTGGGGGTAGAATTGATCAAAATCCTTTCTTAGCGGATACCTACGTCATAACATCTACCTGCATGCCAAATTTCAGCCCAATCCGTCCAGTGGTTTGGGTTGTGCGTTGATAGATCACTATGTCAGTCAGTCACCTTTGAGTTTTATATATATAGATATTGTTACATTATTATTTATCGCTGTGAAGATTTTTGCGCTTGTTTTTCTCAACAGCTAAAAATGTTCTTAACTGGTGGTAGGAAAATAAATATGGACGAATCAAAAGAGTTGTATTGTGCATTAAATTTGAATAAAGATATTTTGACTTTTGACTAATAATAAATATTCGACCATAGGTTCGAATCCAGGACTAAATATACTAATCGCTTAAACCTAAACCTTATAAAGGCTGAGAAAATCGTAAAGCGAATACTCGGTTACTACAAATACACCATCTTTCGTATTGGTGGCCGTTAAAATTATCATCTTGCATATGCGGACGGCAGGAATTCGAAAACAACTTTCTACTGAATAATGAGGAAATATAACTCGTTTTTTAGTATAATTTATGCAAAGAATCGTATTAACCTTTAGGTATTTTTTTTTTCTAATTTTTTTGTGTCACTAAAACAAGTTACTGAAACAATGCGAATGAACAGAAAACATGCGAGTGCTTGCATGTTTTCACCATTGTTAATAATAGGTAGTACATGACAAGTGAAATTTAAAAATTTCTGCATAGAAATAACACATGATCTGAATATTTTAATATTCAATACGAGACATTCTTGACACATTGGTTTATACTTGTTAAACGACTTCAAAAAGTAGGAGGTTCTCAATTCGGCAAATAATTTCTCATGCCCTCATAGCAGCATTTAATTTTCTTGAAGATAGGTTTGACAATTGACAATTTTAGGCGACAGGAAATCTGCCTTCTTGGAATGAAAATTTTTAATATAAGGCAGAAAACTTAAGCGCACCGTATTTAATAACTTTAGTCCAGCGGTTCTCACTACACTAGTTTGTCGCTGAGCGACAAGAGCTATCTAAGATAATACTCGCTCAGCGATGCTCCCTTGGCCGTCATAAAGCGTGTGCGTGTATATTTACTCAATTCTGCGAATGCGAGCGAGTGGCGCGTGTATTTGCCCGTTGTACTCGCACACTCTCCTATATCCCAGCGATAAAACTATCGTAAATACAAACTCGCTTCCCGCTGCTCGCCAACTCGTTTCTAGCTCTACTTGCTTCTTGTTCATCGTCGGCGGTGAGACAAGTGCCTTAAAAAGAGCTGGCTTCTTCACAATTCAAGCCACTTTAAAATAACATTATTATTAAACTAATTACTTATACTAATTAACCAATAATGATAGGTACTTACATTTTCAAAACGACGAACGAATTCATGTTAAAATACTCTCACCAAATTAAAATCCAACTGTCTGGCGAGCTGATATAGAAAGAGAAATCGGACAAGGTTGCCTTAATTTAACACCTTTTACGACGGACAATGCACCCAAGCTCGCATGCCACAATCCAGGTAACACTCGAATATTATTGTTTAAACACACAATAGACTCTGAAGGAAAGCACTACAACTTTGTTAAGCCGTTTGATCTACTAGATTTCTGCGTGACACATTCGGAAGGAACGTATCCGCATGTATCCACTGTCACGGTCACACACGTATCACTGCGTCGCGGTTCCGATGAAAAAGGTCGTATACTGAGGCTGTTTTGTCGAAATTCGTTCGACTTTCGATGGCGACGCTCGACGTCGTTGGCGTATCGGCGTCGTCATAAAATTTCTACTCGACTTTTTTTTGCGGCGGAACGGGTTTTCTCGCGGAGATTGCAATGGTGAATGCCGCGTGCGCACTCTCTTGTCTCTTTCGCCGGCGCGCGCGCAGTACCGCTACCACTTGCTTGGACTTAGCTCAGTAATCCTTTCACTTTGTATGTGAGACGCTCTAAAGTGTTATTGTCGAGTTTTTAACTGAAAATAACAAGTCGAATGTACTTTATTCATATTGTAGTTGAAAGTTCATGATGTAAATTTTACTAATGAAGTGATTAGATAAAACTAGTTTTTTACGGGTTAACGCACGAAACTTTATTTATTTATTGACGTTTCGCAGCCTTTACAGGCTGCGTCGTCGGGATCAATATTTTATTTAATTTTGTCGAGCTACCTTCGAAAGACTTTTATTGAGTGTTCGGTTATTTCATTGTTCGATTTTTAAATTTTAATTGTCTATGTATGAATTTATTACTTAATTTAGTTAATAAAGTACTTTATTTAAAAAATCTTTTTTGTATTTTGAATTCATTTATTTGACCCTAACTACCGTAAACTACCACCGGTTCCAAAATTGGGAGACCTTTCTGAGAAGAACCGGCGAAACAAACTCAAGAGAGGCTTTCTATCTCCTTCTTATGTTAAATTATACAAACAAAAAGAACTAATAGTAGGTATCTGTTTGTTCTTGCAGTGTGTGTTCGGGGTTGGGGTTTTATCTCTTGTATAATGGGTTCCCAAGCTGGTGGTATATACCAACCATCATCCCTATTGAAATTTGGATTTTTTTTTATTTTTTAATTGAAAAGTCAATAAATAAATAAAGTTTCGTGCATTAACCCGTAAAACAACTAGTTTTATTTAATGAGTAGTGTGCGTGAAAACATAAGAAACAAATATAATGAACTGATTTTGACAATCTTAATTTTGATTTACTTCCAAGCGTATAAAAGTAAGGTCACGTTTGCTTCATAAAAGGGTAGTCGGGAGCAATGACCTAATTTTGTTAATTTCATTATGCTACGAGTATGCATGTAACATAACCCTTATCTAAGACGTCTGTAATTTGATTGTTGATTGAGGGATTTCCGCAGTCTCCCATCGCTCTCACATTATTATATTCAATTACTCGTATTGCCTTATTCTGTCATCGTCAATCCGTATTATTATGGGACGCCAAATTACATAATTTAACAAATAAATTACGGCGCCATTGTACGGTAATTCTATCGTGTAATAACATTTGTCGGACCTATCTAATGAAAAAAATATGTATATTATTGGTGCCGTATTATTTGTACACACGTAATCCTCTTATTGGAGTAAAAGTTAAGAAATAGTATTTATTGGTCTTAATATATTTTGGTTATCATTATGCTAGCATAATGGCTATTGTATTTTTGCTATTAGAACATTTGACAGCTGTCACTTATCATGCTCTTGAAGCAATAAAAAAGAGCAAGTTACACATATCAAATATGAATGGTCATAATGAAGTGCTTACAACATTGAAATAATTTTTTTTATTCGATTGGCTTCCGAGTGAGATATCTGTGAGTTTTAATGGTAAGACTGTAGGTCAGGCAGGTGAGCATTTGACCGATTACTCGCCTGTGACTGTGACTCGACTCGCCATATGACGATGGCACATTAGAGAGTAGCAACCTTCAATGCGCCGATGACGAGTGGGAAATAATTTCTATTTAGTTTAAAATTTGACCAATCACCGCCTCGTTTGTTAATTCACTTTTCAATTTTTATAAATAGAACTGACTGTGCAGTCTAGTCGAGTAGGTCAGAGATCTCACCTCAAGCCAATTACCATGTATCATTGTGCTAAGATTTTAAAGTTTTCCATTTCATCGTTCTCACTGCTGCGGCACCGGTCTTCCCTGTGGATGGAATAGAGAGATTGGGCCATGATCCACGGATGTGCGGATTTTTGGGTGCTAACGACTGCCGATAGAGCCGGGACCAACGGCTTAATGTGCCTTTCGAAGCACGGAGGAGCTCGACATAGTAATTTTTGGTCACCCATCCTATGACCGACCACTGCGAAAGTTGCTTAACTTCCACGATCGCAGCCGAACGCGCTAACCACTTGCGCCATCGAGCTCCTCAAGTTTTCCATTTACTAATAAGTTATTTTGTTATGTTCATTTAGGCAAATGTGCTGACAGTCTACCTGATCGTAAGTGGTCATTGCTGCCCATGGACATTTGCAGCATCAAGGGTTACCGGCTCTGAAGGAAATGGTTTACTCGCCTTTTAAAGACCATCATTATCATATTTGTTTCTTAGGTTTTCACGCACATCACTCATTAAATAAAACTAGTTTTTACAGGTTAATGCACGAAACTTTATTTATTTATTGACGTTTCGATGGTCTTGCACACACTGCAAGACCATCAGATACTATTAGTTCTTTTTGTTTGCATAATTTAACATAAGAAGGAGATAGAAAGCCTCTCTTGAGTTTGTTTCGCCGGTTCTTCTCAGGAAGGTCTCCCAATTTTGGAACCGGTGGTAGTTTACGGTAGTTAGGGTCAAATAAATAAATAAACTCAAAATTACAAACAAGAATTTTAAATAAAATACTTTATTAAGTAAATTATATAATAAATTCATACATAGACAATAAAATTTTAAAAATCTTCCAATGAAATAACCGAACGCTCAATATAAGTCTTTCGAAGGTAGCTCGACAATTTTAAATAAAAAATCATTATTCTGACGATGCAGACCTGAAAAGGCTGCGAAACGTCAATAAATAAATAAAGTTTCGTGCATTAACCTGTAAAAACTAGTTTCATCATTATCATAGTTTGGCGGGAAAACAGCTGAGGAAAGTTGGTTGCAGTTCTTGCTGGTACGCAAAAAAAGAAGCTGGTGCTGGAACGTCAATGGTCTAGATGGTAGGGTTGAAAGTTCTCTCTGCGGCGGGTGGAGTGGTGAAGGAACCTGGCCTCTGAACCTTAGACGGTACAGGTACACGCACAAAGACGCGTCAGTGAGCAAACTATAGGTAGACCGCTTAACTGAGTCATCGCCTGCGGGGTAAATGCGGCGAGCGCTTGTAATTTGCCCGCACCTCTCACGGTCCTCGTTTTCGTCTTACACACCCCTAAGACGAGAACGGGGACCGTGAGAGGTGCGGGCGGCGGGCACATTCTTCATTTTTGTCACAATTACAAGCGCTCGCCGCATTTACCCCGCAGGCGATGACTCAGTTAAGCGGTCTACCTAACTTTTTAACAGACTTAAAAAAAAGGTTCTCAGTTTAACCTGTATGTATGTTTGTCCGCAATTATCTCAAAAACGACAAAAGGGCTTTGGATAGAGTTTTCGGTATATAAATGCGTATTTATCAGGGAAGGTTTTAGTATATAATATACTCTCAGCATTCCACGGTTTGAATTAATACCTAAAGGTATTACCTAAAGGTATTAATTCAAACCGTGGAATAAATACCTAAAGGTATCAAATCAAACAGTACAACTTCAATTAGAAATTTATGGTTACTATAATGCAGCCATTATCACACTAATATTACAAAGGCGAAAGTTTGTAAGTGTGTATGTTTGTTACTTCTTCACGTCTAAACGGCTGGAGCAATATTAATAAAAATTGGTATGGAGTTAGCTGACACTCTGGACTAATACATAGGCTACGTTTTACTGCGGGAAAATATCCTATTCCAATGGGAAAATCGATAAATTTATTTTCCCTTATAAACCGTGGATAACACAGCTGGGCACAGCTAGTGCAGTATAAAACGGAGTGATTACTTGCTCAGTGATGCATCTATCAATCGTTCCCCACGACTACGGCTAACTAGAGCCGAGATCCGAGTCAAAGACGCCCTCTAGTTGAGCCGACCCTTCAGGTTCGAGTGGTCTAGAGGCTCCAGATGGAGAGGAGTCTCTCCCCGTGAGGTGATGCCATCCGCCTGGAATACCTCTAGAGGCACTCGCTAATTCTCGGCTTGAGGTCCCCTTAGGATCTCGGCGTCCCCAAACCCGGTGACGCTGTAAAAGTCATTTGCAACCAACAGCATACACACTTAAAAAAAAGAAATCCAATCGTCAAACGTTTCACAGAAACAGTATTCTGTATGATACGCAATATAGGTAGTTCTATAGAAAATCTAAATACATTCGTGTCTAAAAATAAGAACTCATTAACATGCTTTACATTTATGTGATTTTCTAGAATAATTCATAAAATAAAAAGCATAATAAAATTGCGAGCTTGGCTATACGAACTCGGTATCCTTTATATTTCGTATTAATATGAAAATTGTAATGTATTTTTGAATAACGAATAAAGAAATCTCTTTTCTGTGACGTCTTTCATTGTGTTCTGCAAACACAGTCGACAAGGAATTTAATAAATTTATCAAGGAAACTAGAGTGAAAGCTGAAATTATTGAGGTCACAGATTTAATTATTAAAATCCTAGATACTGGATTCCGGTTAAAGTCAATATAGACAGAATCTTTTATTGCAAATAGAAATTTAAAGTTTGGCGTTCCAATATCTCTGTTGTGGAGTTTTATCCTCTTTCAATTGTTTTTTTTTATAAATTTCGTTTATTCATTGATTAAGGGACTTGCACCAAAATTCTTAATTCAAATTTAGGCTTGTAACGCATTATTCCATATTTGTAAGTTGTTTAAAGTCAGGTAGAGGTCGAAATGATAAAACGTAGCTCTTAAATGACATGGTAAAATTTTGTATAACCGATAAATAATTTAAATCAATATTGTACTTAGTAATATTTAATGCTGAATTTTATAATTTGTATGAAACAACGCTCAGATAATTTTTCTAAAGTTACAATCCTGAAAATTATGAAAACTCCTACTGCGTCTGACAACATGTTTTACCTTGCTACAGTTGGTATAACATGTTGTCAGTTATTTGAAAAGCCATCATTTTCACATTTCCTTAAAATCTTTCCTCCCATTCCTCTGTTCAATACTTCACAAAAAGTATTTTTATTACAAATATAAGTATAAACCCCTTTTTTTTTAAAACAGTGGAGCCCTGAAACCTTATCGACAGAAACACTACTAACCTACCAAGAGGTAGGTTATTTTAATG